TGATCAAGAAGGTCCAACAAGAATCAATGTCATTTATGTGCCAAAATTGACAGTGATGGGCTACTCGTCTGACAAATACTCCAAACTTGTTATTGGATCCACACCCGTTCAGGTACAACAGCCGCCTTCTACCTCTCGTTCTACAAATTAACATTATTTCCAATTTTGAAGATGTTTGTTCGTTTGTCATTTAGAAAATGATTCCGACAAGCTTGACCCCGAAACTGCGCACAGTGAAGGTCTTGGCACTAGAATCTATCGGGCCCGGCCTGGAGCAAGTTGTCAGTTTCCTGAGATGCTTTCCGTGCCTGGAGAAGCTATATATCAAGGTGATGTTCCTTTCCTGTTAAATGTTAACCATAAGGGAGTTCAATTTGTGACACCTTTTTCCAAGTTTACAATGACAATGTACTACAATTTCTCAAGGTTCTTTTGGAGGATTTCAGTACATACATGCCCCCCCCCATATTGGTTGCTTGATCCATATGGTTATATTCAATAAGCATTTCTCCTTTGGATTCATCTGTACTAGTTTTCTTAGGGAACTTCTCATCCACTCCAACCTCTTGTGAAGAAGGCTACATTTTTCTAGAATGTAATCAAATGCCCAAGTTAATCATGTCAGATCGAAGATGGCATGTTAGTGCATTTTACAAATCCTGCAAACCAAATAGCTAGTCCTATAGTAATGTTCAAAACTGCATGTAGGCACTAACACATTTTCTTCTTTTGCAAATAAGATTAGGCCCAGTGATGGATAATGTGATACAATATAACAATCACGTCGAATGCCTAGATCTGCATCTCTCAGAAATTACTTTGAACTCCTACCGAGGGACCTTACCGGAGATTATATTCGTCAGGTTTTTTGTTCTTAGAGCAAGGGTGCTAAAGGAAATGAGGTTTACCCTACATTTATTTCGCAAAAATGAATGGTTTGTTGATCAGCGTCGGCGCCTGCGGCAGAATGGAGTAGGCTCCAAAAATGCTGAATTTCATTTTGGAACTTCAGATGACAGAGTAATCGGAAGTCATCAGGTCAACCCCATACATGATTTCTCAGTGGCTGACCCCTTTGCAAAAATTGTGAGGTTTCGAAGCCAGACTTAGAAGCGGTGATATTAGTTTGAACCTCTCTGATATCCATGTTCAACGCATCAGCACGAGCATTTGCAGCTGATGAGCTGAATTTCATTTCTAATATCAATTTGAACCTTGTAATCTTCGAATTTGAGCCATATAACTTTGGAATTTGAACCTTGTAACATTTCGAGGTTTTGTGGTACAATCGTTGAAATGGCATCGTATGAGACTCGTATATTGCTAGCACTATTTTGACCTAAATATGCAATGGTCTTAGATTTTATTAACCATTCTTGAATCAGTTTACCTTGTCGATCTCAGAGCACACGATCTGTATAGCTAACTCGACTGCGATCTTCGACAATATTGCACACAGTTGAGCGCAGAATTAATTATCGCACTCGAGTTTCCATCATCACCCTTCTGTGTAACTTTGACCACGCCTGGGGTGCGGTATTGTCAAGCATGCACTGGATTCAGGAATCCTCCGCTATGAATGATGCGACAAGACGTGACGATTACAGGCCGGACGACCCCTATTTATTACAGCGGCCATTTAACCCTTGTGTCTCTTCAACCTTTCGATCGCGCCCCACCGTTGCAAGAAGCACACCCACCACGAGAAGTTCTTAGAGGGTATCCTGCGCGGCTCCAATGGCGCTCCGAGCGGCTGCCGACGACGAGCAGCAGTTCACCATGCGTGCCGTGGTGGACACCCACAAAAGGTTCATGGACCTCTCGGTGGTGTACACCAACGACCCGGTCTGGGTGGAGCACTCCATCCACATCATGGAGTTGTTGCTTGCCGCGGAGAAATACAAGGTGGTCGGGTTTGACCTCGAGTACACCTGCACTCGTGCCGGGTCTCGTCCCAAGGTCGCCGTCGCCCAGATATGCGTGCGCCACCACGTCCTCGTCTACCACTACTGCCTAGCCACAAGGCCTTGCGAGCGTTTTACCAGGTTTGTTAACAACCCTCACTACATGTTTGCTACGGTGGATATCACCAACGATGTAAAGGCGCTTGAGAATTCGGGCATCGCCTACCAAAATCTTGTCGACATCTAGGGCCAATACAAGATCTGGGGCAACAAGGAGCATGAGAAGGACTCACTGGTTCACCTCGCCGAGGCCATCATCGACCCCTACTACAGAGACATGAAGGATTCGTGCAACAAGGACAAGCGTGCCTGGCACTCGGCCTGGATGGAGAAACTCGACAAAGCTCACGTCGTGTACGCGGCCAAGGAGGCATACACGAGCTACGACATGTATAGGCGGATCGTTGACATGAGGAAGTCTCTCCTTTCCCAAAAAGGCCAGGGATCCAGCCGGAAGCAGAGCATATGGCAAGCGTCGTCGCAACAATAAGTAGATGATTAGATCCTCGTTTCTCCTACTTTAGTATGCATGTAATTGCTTTCTTTGATGTGTGGAAATGTTATGTGTGTAGTCACTTGTGTAATTGTATGCTTAATTTGGTTATGCAATGCTGTCTTTTTAAGTATATATGTTGATGCTGTAGACAGAGCATAGATGTTGTGCGGACAAAGAAAATCACATCGCACATGGACTAAACAATGGAACCCGCCGGTGATGTTTTCATCAATCACTCACAATTGTATACCAGCAATCGTTTGCTCACCACACACACGGCTTGTTAGCAGTAATCGTCCGTGTTGTTATCGTTCTTCGCACACATCTCCGATTACATACCTGATTGCTCGTATCACACACATCTTGTTCATTTGAACCGTTTATGTTCTCATGCCTCAACGCAAACAGTTCATCCGAGTGAACCGCATGCCGTATATCGCCTTGATCTGGCTGACCATTTCTTTTGTGTTGACTAATCACAAATAGTTCGTCCGAGTGAACCATATGATGTGTATCACACAGGCCTTCATCTGGCTTCCTGTTTATTTTGTTCCTCCTCATCGCAAACAGTTCATTGAACTGAACCGTATGCCCTTCATCGCACACGCAAATAAAACCTGAACCGTATTTGATGCATCCTTCATCGCAAATGTTTTATACATTTCTGACGGTTTTCATACAACACCGTTTGCGATTATTGCATCGCACACAGTTTCTCGAAGGGTCTCTGATCGTAGTGTCCCGTTAGCAGCATCCTGCAATAGTGATCTCTTCGCCGAACTAGTGCACCTATATAATTTGCCATTGTATTGGGTGTGTTGGGGACACAAGAGATTTCTTGTACTTGGTTGTAGGGTTGTTTGAGAGAGTCCATCTTCATCCTACACCTCCCACGGATTGATAAACCTTAGGTCATCCACTTGAGGGAAAATTGCTACTGTCCTACAAAACTCTGCGCTTGGAGGCCTAACACGAGTCTATAAGAATAAAGTTGCGTAGTAGCCATCACTCCTGTCGCAAACACTCGCCCTCGCCATGAAATTGGCGAGCTCCTCTTTCATGCCAGGAATTTCACCCGTTTCCAGCTCCTACTCGACGAGTCGGACGGACTAGACTTCCAAAATGCAATCTGGAACTCGCTCAGATCGACGGTGTCCTCGTTAGTGCCCTCCTCCCTTCGCATCAGCAAGATGCTCATCTTCTTCCACTCACACAAACTCTTGCTCGAGAAACTCTCACAGCCACCTTACTCTTCCATTTTGGTGGACATGCACCCGATTTCCGCGTTCGTTGCTTGACTGTAGTGGTTTTCGCTTTTGATGCCGCATCCACTCCCGTCGCAACTCTTCTTGCGGCATGCTCGCCAATCTCCTCACGACACTACTACACCAACATCTCCGACAAGCACCCATCCTTCAGCCGTGCCTCGCCTCAATAAAGAAACAACTATCATGACGGCATTCTTGGCGCCGCCCTCTGTATATGCATATATACTTGTACTTTGATCTCCGTCCATCTATTCTCTAGTCTTTAGGGTTTTAGTCTTGAACGTGACGGTCTCCCTCTACATCTATATATTGGCACTGGATGCCTGTGAATATATGCCTGTTGTATCCTATCATCTCTCTACACACAAGACATGGTCAGCATTGCCACTGCCACCGAGATAGGCCGAAGCAATGGAGTACAATCAAACGGATCGACAACCACGATCCGTCGGACGAAAAAACCATAAGTGATGGTCATATCGTCCATGGTAACCACACCATGACAGAGATATGAGCGATATAGATATCAAGATTTTGACATCGAGAACACGTATCTAAAAAGATAAAACAAAAAAAATTCTGAAAAAGTAATTGAATTACTCTTTCCATCCCAAAATGTGTCTTTGACTTTATTACGACATTGTACTAAAATTAAAGTTAGTACAAAATTGAGACATGTATTTTGGGTTCCTACTTGACAACTTGACAGGTCATCAACGTTTTTGTTTTCCTTGTCGACTAGGCCTCGTGTTCTCTCGCCGGCGGCTTGGTTGGATATCCATCCGTCCGCTGCCCACGTAGACGTCGGAGCACCAGCATGGCGAGAGAGACAGCGGGCCGTCTGAATTCGCAGCCCCTGGTACCGGCAGATCACCAGGAAGGAAAGACGAGAAGAAATGAAACCGCGTGCCTGCCCACCTGGACGCTTCCTGCCTGCCCACTGTACGTTACTTAACCCGGGACGTGTTTCCCAACCCGCCCAAAAAAACAAAAACTTACCGGAACGTGTCAGGGACGACGCGCCTGGCGCCGCGGTCACGCAATCCAAGATACGCATGGCCTGCGCGTGGTGACTTGTCGAGAGTCACCAAATCCACGCTGCCCGCTGCCCCGATCCCCCATCCTCATCGCATAAAAACTGGTGCGACCCGCACCTGCTGCCAGCCAGCCAGCCTTCACCGTTCGAAAAGCTTCCCCAAGGAATACCACCTCGCCGCGATTCCCCGCACCCACCCAATTCCCCGAGCCCCGCCGCCGCGCGATCGCCCGGCCATGTCCGGCTACCCCTACGGCGGCGCCGCAGGAGGAGGAGGAGGCTACGGGGCCCCTCCGCCCTACGGCTCCTCCCCCGCCCCCTCGGCCCCGCCCTACGGCGACAAGCCCCCCAAGGAAGGCAAGGCCTCCTCCCCCTACTACGCCTCCCCGCCCCAGACCTACGGCGCCAGCGGCGGCGGAGGCGGCTACGGGGCCCCGCCCTCGTCCCAGCCCCAGTCCTACGGGGGCGGTTACGGGGCCCCGCCCTCCTCCCAGCCCCAGTCCTACGGCGGCGGCGGCTACGGGGCCCCGCCCGCCGGCCAGCCCCAGTCCTACGGCGGCGGCGGAGGCTACGGTGCTCCGCCCGCGGGCCAGTCCTACGGCGCCCCGCCTCCCTCGTCGGCGCCCTACGGGGCCCCGCCCCCCGCGGCAGCGCCGTATGGGGCCGCTGGCGGCTACGGGAGCCCGTTCGCCGCGCTCGTGCCGTCGGCGTTCCCGCCGGGGACGGACCCCAACGTGGTGGCCTGCTTCCAGGCCGCCGACCGCGACGGCAGCGGGACCATCGACGACAAGGAGCTGCAGTCCGCGCTCTCCGGCTACAACCAGAGCTTCAGCCTCCGCACCGTCCACCTCCTCATGTACCTCTTCACCAACACCAACGTCCGCAGGATCGGTAATCACACTCCCCTCTACGCGCATCCTTCTTCCATTCTAGCACCCCCTCCGCTTTCCGTGTAGCTGCGATCTTGCGACTATTATTGTTTTTTTTTTCCTGTGGAGAAAGATTTCGGTACAACAGTGCACAACTTGGGCTCGTCTGGTATTTCAGTCTGTGAGCATGTGCCCTGCTGTTTGATACAGTTTGATCAAATAATGAGGCTCCTTCTGGGAAATCAATGATTGAGTTTATCACAAGGAAAACCACAATCATTTCCTTCCCTTAAGAAAAAAGAGAGCTGCATTTCCTAATACAAGTTCCTGTGAAATGTGAATTCTCTACATGCTATTTGAGACAGTAAATTCCCTATATCCTGTTTAACCTTGTTCATCATGGGAATGCTATTTTATGGTGATATAAGGGCACAACACTACACTCTAGGCAACAAGCTATCATGTGGCATCAAAAGGCTGGTCTTGTATGCAAGATAGAATGAGCACTTCTTGTTCATAAATTCGATATGTATTTTGTGTGATAGCCGATGTTCTAGTTGTAACACTAACAAGTTTGCAGTCACTGCTTTGGCCTTTACTCAAACTCTTAACGTATACATATATTCATAATAGTTTATAGACTACTAGATTTGAAAATATTTTCTCCGTGGCTATGGTGTTTAGACTTCACCAGCATGCATATGAAGAATAAAATACTATTAAGAATCATTACCAGATGATACTTATATCCGATGACACTTGAAATAGTATGAGCTACTGCATATTATGCTGCCAGTAGTAAAAAAAACGGATGTTGATTAAAAAGGACCAGTAGGAATCCCTGAGAAAAATATATATTATGTATAACATCTAAGTGAAAGTTTAATTTATCTTGGGATGCCTTTCAAGTTAGACCTGTGCAAATGTTGTCCTACCCGTCAAGCCTTTTTTTTCTGTTTGCGATGAAACTCTGATGTGTCGGCAATTTATTGCAGGATGGATCCACTTGGTATGTAAGTCAACTGGGGTTTAGAGTTGACCTAACTTTGGCACAGTTTGAATTTGTGGCCTGATGCTCTCCCTTTACGCTTGATTTTGGTAGCAAGTTTTTTTAGATTCCTGTTGAGTTAGAAAAATCTTATCTCGTGTTTTTTTTCTTTGGGTGTTTTCCTTTTCTGTGTGGAGCTTCCACAATTACTTCTTAACTACTTGATCGATCTGAACTCTAATATCAGTACCGTCTTTCACATTCCAGTAGTAGAATTGATCTGATTTTTTTGGGCTGAAACTTCGAATTCAGCATTGCCCATCTATTTCAGCTCTTTCTCGTTGACCTCTCTCAGTTTTTAATTTGTGCCTCTGATTCTTGCAGGGCCCAAGGAGTTTACTTCTGTTTTTTACAGTCTTCAGAATTGGAGGGTGAGTGGCTATGGCTTCAAGTTTTCTTTACTTATTTGTGCGGACTAATCAGCTGATCTAATGAAATACTTACTAACCATGCCTGTCCATTTCCTATTGTTTTTGTGCAGTCCATATTCGAGAGGTTTGACCGTGACCGAAGTGGTAAAATTGATGCATCGGAGCTGCGTGATGCTCTTCTCAGTCTGGGTTATTCAGTTTCTCCAACTGTGCTAGACTTGCTCGTGTCTAAATTCGACAAGACTGGGGGCATGAGCAAAGCAGTTGAATATGATAACTTTATTGAGTAAGATTACTCTCCTTCAATTTAATTTGGCTAATTATTCCAGATAAACAGCACAAGCTTTTATAATATCCAATCTCTGATAACATCTAGGGACTTCAACTTTATTTGTTCATATAATGGTGGAATCACATATCTCTATGGTGCAATTATTAGTCAATTGTCTGTAACTTGCTGGCACTTCTATTATGTCATGAACTCAAATTGTTGAGTTGGTTTCTTCTGTTTTATGAATTAAAGATGCGCCCAACTGTTCTGAAGCTTCAAAAATGAAAAAATGGCTGTCCATCTGTTGGGCTCTATTTCTGCTTGGTTTTGTGAAATACATTTTGATAAGTTCAGTTTGGTTTATAACAGTCCTAACTCTTTTGTTTGTTTGTTTGTTTGTTTGTCTATGCAGGTGTTGCCTTACAGTCAAGGTATTTCCCATCATCATTGTATATACTACACAAACAAACACATTAATGTTCTGTACTTCACCGCACTAATTGGTTTCATACTTCTGTAGGGTCTGACTGAGAAGTTCAAGGAGAAGGACACAGCTTATTCCGGGTCTGCAACTTTCAGTTACGAGGCATTCATGTTGACTGTGCTCCCTTTCATCATCGCATGATGACTCCGCAGTTCAATACAAAGACTGAGCTTTGAGTGTGTTGTTCCATGTGTCGAAACGTTTTTCCATCGGAGGTGTAGTTTGTCTGAATTCGAGTGATGTTGCTGCGTTCCTGATAAGGTGATACCCTGGAGATTGGAAACTGCCTATGGATGGTTTGGAACTCTGAAAATGCTGCCGCATATGCTTGCTCTCTTTCTTCGCTGAAAGTTGTCATTTTCAGTGAGATTGGGTTCTGATCATATTTTATTTCCCTTTGATGAGGCTTAGTTCAAAATTTGTTTACACCAATCAAACCTAAATTAACCTGAAATTGTTTTATTATTTTTGCTAGCATATTACTGCTAAAATCGTAGACAAAAAAAAGTCTTACACTGCATTCAAATGCAAATAAATCCAAATGCAGCAATAGGATTCTCAAGCCGGAGTTGACTTCCAAACAAATGCAGCACCAAAAAGCAATCTTGCAGGGCACACTTGCACTACAAATGAATTCAAGAAAATTAGCAGAGCCAAAATAGCAAATGCAACCTGGATCCATCCTGAAATCACCCTCCAGCTATATGTCATCAGGGCCGTTGGCGAGCGGCTTGTAACCATTCGGACTTCCAGAGATCTCACCCGATTTAACCGGAATGCACTTCAAGATAGCTCCAATAATCAAGCTGATGGATCCAAGACCCACGCTCACCAACCAGAATTGCCAGCTGAGTGGAACAGTACTTGCAAAAGTGCCCAGAAACTCGATGATCACCACCTGGAATACCACCGTCACGCTTATTACCCCGAGGAAGACCCAATTGCCAATGAGACCGCGGAAAATGTTGATCTTCTCCATTTCCCTGCTGTTCACTTCGTTGAATACCTAGCACAACATCGTCGAAAGTACATTGACATTAGTTCGCCAGTTTCGAACAAGGATGTAAATGACTACAAGGTGTTTCACAATGCATCACTCACCTGGCAAAACACAAAGGAGTTGAATATAAGCGTGTTGAGAACGGTCTTGGAATCTGGGCCCTTGATGTTCAGAAGATTTTCCCCGGCGAACATGAGAACGCCAAGCACAACCAGCTGGTATATACTTTGCCCAATGATGTTTCTCCACATGACCTTGGTGATGAAGCTTTCCCCTCGCCCAGTAGGCGGCCTCTTCATCATTTCATCATTTGGAGGCTCAGTTGCCAGAGCTAAAGCCCCTAATGTGTCCATAATCATGTTCACCCACAGCAGCTGCACAGCAGTGAGAGGAGCACTCCCTGCGATGTAAGAATGAGAACATGAATACCATGAGCCATTCGATGAAGAAAAAACCAAGATGTCAAATGAATACATCAATAATGTCTGTCACACCTGTGATGCACGCTGAGACAAAGTTGATCACCAAAGCAACAATGTTCACGGTCAACTGAAACTGCACGAACTTCTGGATGTTTATGTAAACCGCACGACCCCACCTTGCGACGTTTATTATAGTTGTGAAGTTGTCGTCAAGTACTATGACATCAGCACTCTCCTTCGCAACCTGCACAAAATCGAAGATAGTGTCACCAATGTTCATGGAAAAATGAAATGATGATGGATTTGTTAGACGTTTATTTCTGTCGTGAGAGCAAAATATTACTCCAACCACAGATGACGAAAGAGAATTATAGGTTACGTAAATAAATAGGTTGTCATTGCCAACGGCCATTCTGTTATCTTACTTCTGTCAGAATCAATATCAAAATATATTCAGCGTAAGCATCTAACTTTGCAATTTTCTACTGATGCTATACTATATGATCAAAACTGCATAAGAAAATAGTACCTCTGTGCCTGCAATGCCCATAGCAAGCCCAATATCTGCTTCGTGTAATGCAGGAGCATCATTTGTACCATCACCTGTCACAGCAACCACCTCTTGGAACATACCTCTCAAGTTTGTCACGAGCAAATGTTTGTCCAATGGTAACGAACGGGCCATGACCTGCCAAAGGTTGATGAGATGTTAATCTTTCAAGGTTTTTAGTGCACTTAATAGAATAAGAAAGACGAAATAAACCTGAATCTTAGGTATCAAGTCCCTCATTTCTTCTGGGCTTTTGTTACGAAAATCTGGTCCTTCTATTGCTATGCCATCATCAGTCAATATGCCACATTCTTTGGCAATAGCTTTAGCTGTATTGATATTATCACCAGTCACCATTCTCACAATGATGCCAGCAGTTATGCAGCTCTGAACAGCTTCCTTCACTCCAGGGCGCACAGGATCCTTAATGCCAAATATGATTATCAGAGTAAAACCATTAGGAGGGCTATCTGCATTCTCATCAAATTCATCCACATCCTTAAATGCTAAGCACAATGTCCTTAAAGCATCTGAAGCAAATGAGTTGATAGTATCCGTGATGTTCTTTCTCCGATCGTCTGATAAGGGAATAACATCTCCATCTTGATCAATCACTTTGTCACACATCTCAACAATAATTTCTGATGCACCTTTGCAAAACCAACGGTGTCCCCCACCAGGTAAAGAAACCAATACTGCCATCTTCTTCTTGACCGAATTGAAAGGCTCAACCTTAACCTTGGTGCAGCTCCTATCCTCAGCATCACGATATCCTTGCAAGCTCAAGCCATATTCAAATATTGCTATTTCTGTTGGAGTGCCCAAAACAGTTTGTTTATCATCATTTCCTTTGACAACCTCTGCACTAGTGTTCTCAAAAATGCCCTGCAAAAGTAGGCTCCATGCGCTTGAAGAAATCGCAGAATTCAGTTCTTCCAAACTACTGTTACTTGTAACCGACTTTGAAACCTCGGCTATCCAGATTTTGTCAACCACCATATGGTTAGTAGTCAAAGTTCCTGTCTTGTCTGTGCATATGGTACCAGCAGATCCCATTGTTTCACATGCTGCAAGGTGTCTAACAAGCGCTTTGTCATTCATTAGCTTCTTCATTGCAAATGCAAGGCTCAAAGTAACAGCCAACGGCAACCCTTCGGGAACAGCAACAACAATAATAGTGACCGCTGTTGCAAAGTAGTTCACTATAGTCAAGGCATCAGTTGAATACCAGTTGGACAAACCAACTGTCAAACCTTTGTCAATAAGGAATCTAGTCATCAGGACTACAAATGTTAATGTGGCAAATACCAGGCCAATCTTTCCTATGATGGTCGCAACTCCATTTAGCTTAACCTGCAATGGTGTCTCATCCTCTCCTCCCTCACTCAAAGTGCTCATCAGCCTTCCCCATTCAGTGCGCATACCGACAGCTGTTACTATCATCTTAGCAGAACCATCTTGCACTTTAGTTCCTGCCAATATGAATGGTTTATCTTGAGAAGTATACACTGGCTCACTCTCACCTGATAAGCTGGATTCATCAATCAGAAGGGAGTACCCATGTATAAACAGTCCATCAGCAGGCACTTGGTCCCCAATTGATAAATGCACAATATCACCAACTACCAAGTCAAATATCGAGATCTTCTGTCGACCGCCATCTCTGGTTACATGGATAAATATGTTTTTCTTTTCATTATCTAGCTCCTTAAACTGGAGCGATTGCTTATAGTCACTGGCAGCAGTAACCATCACAACTAAGAGAATGCTGAGTATTATCCCCAAGCCATCATACATGCCCTTGGGCCAACCTTCAGATGCCAGGCCAACTACAACAGATAACAAAGCACATACCATCAGAATGATAAGAGTCGTGTCTTGCAATGCATCCCAAACAAACATCCAGAAACTTCTTGAAGGCTTTTCAGCGTAGCGATTGACACCATATATGCTTTGTCTTGTATCCAAGTCAGTAGCACATACACCACGGTCGAATGTTGTGCGAACTTTTTTGGATATCCCATCTACCCCACCATGCATCTTTAAAGCTTTCAAGTCATGCTTGCTTGTTATTGATGCCAGTTCTTCGGGATTGATGGAAAACCCAGCTTTGATTATATAATCTGTTAGCTGGTACTCATTCTTCTTGGCGCCTTGAGCATAGAAAGGTACACAAGTCAAGTAGAGTTACTGGTGCAACACAAGGAACGATAACATAAAAGGTTATCAGGTAGATTTATACCACCAATGAAAGTGATTGCAGCCTGCTGCACATAGAGGGCAACCCGAATTTTTTCCTGGAAAAGAGAACACGAACAAGGGAAACGTTTTTACATACAAAAGTTAGGTTATTTTCTTGCAATGGCAAGATACAATCACAAAAAAGAAAGCAGATAAACTGATTGACTGAATGTGAGCCTGCAATTTTCCTGTCAACATTGTGAAAAAATGGTTTAAGTTCACCTGTTAAACAAAGGAGTTACATCCACATCAAGACTATTTGCCAAGACAAATAATCGCGAAGCATCTGGGTTTGAAAAAGAATGCCAAGCATCTCGAAGAAGAATTAGACAACCAAAGTAGTTGGCAGGCTGATTGGCATAAGAAATGAACTTCTTTCAAGACTTGATGGTCTCTAAGAAAAAGTAGCCCGCCAAAAGATTCAGTAATCTCTGCCTAAATTATTCTCCATCTCTGGGAAGTGGAAACCAAGCCGCCTATTGACTAGAAAGATTCCCAACTTTGTAGTTACATGGTTTAGAATGCATGTGCCTATTGTCAAAAGGCAGTCCAGATCCAGCATAGGAGTGCATGACACACAGGCCCTCCACCTTTATGATTGTACATGTTTAAATTATATCAACCAACCATCCTTTCATTCACATGTCTTAATGAAGTATCCATCGTCAGCTAATTTCAAATAGCTCTCCTCTAGCAACCACCTAGTGCATGATAATATGGTCAAAACATAAGAACGCCATTCCTTTGACTTTGATGATGATGAATGGTTTTAGATGGTCTTTGTTCAAGACGTTGGTGTTGTTCTTTCTGTCTTGATGTTTTACTTCCCGGTGTTTACCGGCCTAGTACATACTACCCCTGTTCCTAAGTATACAATGGTGGCATATGAATACAGATGCCCCATGACAAAAAGTAGTTTGAGACATTT